TGTCGACCACATCATGCAGCTCGGTGTCATCAGAAAACTTGCAGAGGGTGCACTCGATCCCACTGTCCATGTCGCTGACAATTTTTCATTGAAAGTGATATAATTTGATAATAATATGTTTATAATCAACATTCTCTTAGATCATCCAAAATTAACTCTTGTGTTGATAAATCAATTATACTTTTTCCTTCCAAGTATTCAGATTGCATCTGGAGGCCTTGTTTAGTTTTCTCTTTGCTTGATAATAGTTTCAGGTGTGTTTTGTTATCTTTTGATATCCAAAATTAATAAATTTGGGTATTTCATATAACCAAAGGATGTCAACTTTAGATAGGTATTGCCTTTTTTAGTCTTCAGAACTTACTGGACTAAGTCTGAATACCTTCCAGGCCTCCTCTGATAAATCTTTACCCAAACAACTGAGGATCTCACAGCTGTGTTCCTGTTGGGTTTTTTTTTGGTCATACGTGTACATTAATTTTAGTAAACTAACATATAGTATTACATTAATTTTAGTAAACTAACATAGTATTTTTTTTAACCTGAATGAGTTTATTCATGGTGTAGAATGACTTAATCATGATGTAGAGGGGAAGTATTCAAGCCTCATTCATGAATGAAATAAAATTCAAAATTGGGAGTGTGTTATTGATGTAGCACTGATGTTAACTCACTCTGTAAGAAATTCTCGATGTGTACATAGGTTTATTTAAACAAATAATTACTTATTTTTAATTTTGATTGAGGAAGCTTTTAGGTGAAATGCAGTTTGAATAAACTGTTTAAAAAATATTTTTGCAGATTGTTATTCCAAGGAGTCCTCTTCAGGCCAAAGGACTGCTGCTGTCATGCATAGAAGACAAAAATCCATGCATATTCTTTGAACCTAAAATACTTTACAGAGCTGCAGGTAAAGATTTATATACTGCATTTTCCAATAAAGCAACACCTTTTTTTTTTTGTCACATAAATGTTGATAGTCACAGCTAAAACAATAATGTAGGAGAAGTTTTGACTTGGTTTGTGTGTAACTATGTTTGAGGGTTGTGCTTTTAATTGTGAAATTCTGAAGACTAAATAAGATCTCTAAATTTGGCTGCAAAGGTAGATGAATATTTACAGTCTGATTTATTCTCAGTTAACTTTGGAAGTGGAATGCTTTGTAGAGTCTTGGGTTAAAAAAAAAGAAATAGAGCTAAGAAGCATTATTCTTTATCAAATTACAGTACAGATTTGATAGAAGTTAAACTGTTTTCTCTTTGATAGCTGTAGATACTAAAATAAGTTTCCAGATCAGTGTTTATTTTTCTAAAAAAATTGAATGTCACATCACCATTTTCTCAAATTTAAAACTTTGAAGTTCTTAATTTCTAAAAATCTTGAAAATCTGCCCCCTTAGATTGTAATCTTATGTGAAAGGAGGTGATTGACATTACTTTTTTGATTTGTTTTAATTATAGTGAACTTTATGGTTCGAAGAAGTTTTAACAGCTGTTGTTACGCATAACATAAAAGAGCAGAGTAATTTGAAGATGGCAGTGCTTGAATTGGTTGCAAAAATTAGCTTGTTACTTCTTTGGACACTTTGCTGATGACACCAAGCTGTGTGGCACGGTCGACACGCTGGAGGGAAGGGATGCCATCCAGAGGGACCTGGACAGGCTGGAGAGGTGGGCCACTGCCAACCTCATGGAGTTCAACAAGGCCAAGTGCAAGGTCCTGCACCTGGGTTGGGGCAATCCCAAGCACAGGTTCAGGCTGGGCGGAGAATGGATATTGACTGGTTGGAGTGAGTCCAGAGGAGGCCACAAAGATGCTCAGAGGGCTGGAACAGCTCTGCTATGGGGACAGGCTGAGAGAGTTGGGCTTGTTCAGCCTGGAGAAGAGAAGGCTCCGGGGAGACCTTATTGCAGCCTTCCAGTACCTGAAGGGGCCTACAAGGAAGCTGGGGGGGACTTTTTACAAGGGCCTGGAGTGACAGGACAAGGAGTAATGGGTTTAAATTGAAAGTGGGGAGGTTTAGATTAGATATCAGGAAGAAGCTCTTCCCGGAGAGGGTGGTGAGGCAATGGAACAGGTTGCCCAGAGAAGCTGTGGATGCCCCCTCCCTGGAAGTGTTCAAGGCCAGGCTGGATGAGGCTTTGAGCAAGCTGGTCTAGTGGAAGGTGTCCCTGCCCACTGCAGGGGGGGTGGAAATAGATGGGCTTTAAGGTCCCTTCCAACCCAAACCATTGTATGCTTCTATGATATATGTGTGTATGTATGGATTTCTGTTATGTTGACTGTGCATATATATGGTTATGTAGATATATATGTATGTATGACATATATCATAAAGCAGTAACTAGACTGGAAAAGTAGTATACTTAGCATGTGTGGCTGTAGTTAGTTATTGCAGATTTCTTTTTCCTATACTCTGAAGCAGTACAGTGCTGCATCTGTGGCTGAGCCCACAGGCGGGACTGCCTGTTACTTTTGCACAGTCACCCCTTCTATTAGCAGTTTCTTTAGCACAGGACTTGCTGTTCCTCTGTGTCCCTGGGCTCTTTGAAGTGCTCACTTACACTTAGTTTACTTGCTTGGGTTACTTGCTTGAGTAGTTACGGCAGCGCCAGCACCGGGTTGGTTGTACGTATGTGGAGCGGGGAATGACAGTGTTTGTCCTGAAGACAGCTCTCTTCCTTTCAATACTCTTGAGAGTGGAGAGTTTTAGCCAGTCCAGCATCCTCTGGGAATCATGCAGGGAGGTAGAACAGCCTTTTGCTTGCCTCAGTCTAGTCCCGCTTGCTAGCTGGTTTTTGGGACACGCTGTTCCCAGAAGCTCTCAGTCATGGCCCCTACTTGTTCCTGTAGCTCACACCACAGGCCCAGGATGTTGGCACCCCGTTTTGCTTCCAGTTGCTGGCCCAGTGTCTTGTCTTCTCATGATGATCCTTGAAGCACACATCCTACACAAGATAGATAGCATTTCAAAAGAAGCTAGGACTGAACACCGTGATGAGGCACAGGGCTCAGTCAGGCACACATGCTGTCTGGCCCCACTTTATGTTCAACTGTACACTTCTATAACCCTTTCTGTTTCTTCCCCACCTTCTTCCTCCCCAGCCCCCTTTACTTTCACATGCCCCTATTAGCGGTGCACCCACCTCCAATACTCTGCACCTTCAGGTTTGCGTGCTTATCAGTTGCAATTCCTGTTTTGCCCATACTTTCTTGATATCCTCTTGTGGTTTAGTCACAGTTAGCAACTAAGCACCAGATAGCTGCTTGCTTGCCTCTCCCCACCCCAGATTGGGTGAAGGAGAGAATCGGAAAAAAAATTGTGAATTGACATTAAGAGTTTAATAGCACAGCTAAGGAAGTGGAAATCATCAGTGGTAAAGGAATATACAAAATCAAGTGATGCACAATGAAATTGCTCACCACCCGGTGATCGATAGTCCATCCCCAAGCAGCAGTCCCTAGTTGCCAACTTGCCTCAGCTTGTATACAGAGCATGACATTATATGGCATGAAACATCCCTTTGGATAATTTGGGTCAGCTGTCCTGCCTGTGTCTCCTCCCAGCTCCTTATAGAGAAGAAACTGGGAGAACAGGGGCAGTATGAAAAACTGAAAAAGTCCTTGGGATAATGTAAACAAACATGCTTGGCAACAAACTATAATGGTGTTATCAACATTTTTCTCAGCACAAATCCAAAACATGGCCTCATACTAGATAACTGTGAAGAAAATTATCTCAGCTAAAACCAGCACATAGCCCGTTACTCCGTGTGCCTGACCAGTTTGTTTCTTGTCTTTCTGTCTGTTAGGTTTGTCTTGAGGTTTCTGTCTCTGTATATATTGTTTATGGCTTCTTTTGGTTTATCATCCCGCTTGACAAGGTCCTTCATCCGATAATCTTACTGAAATAAACATTCACACATTCCCCATTCCCTTATTGATAAATGGGACTGAACAGGTTTGGTTCTTGTTACGGCCTTCCACATCATGTGTTGATTAGGCCTGTGTCCCTTCCTTATGGCTTCTCCCTCTTCCTGTTATCCCCTTTTGCAATGAAAAGATCTGTGTCCAGGTGGATCATAGAATCATGGAATGGTTTGGGTTGGAAGGGACCTTAATGACCATCTAGTTCCAACCCCCCTGCCATGGGCAGGGACACCTTCCACTAGACCAGGTTGCTCAAAGTCTCATCCAGCCTGGCCTTGAACACTTCCAGGGATGGGGCATCCACAGCTTCTCTGGGCAACCTGTTCCAGTGCCTCACCACCCTCTCTGTGAAGAACTTCTTCCTGATATCTAATCTAAACCTCCCCACTTTCAATTTAAACCCATTACCCCTTGTCCTGTCACTACAGGCCCTTGTAAAAAGCCCCCCCAGCTTCCTTGTAGCCCCTTCAGGTACTGGAAGGGACAATAAGGTCTCCCCGGAGCCTTCTCTTCTCCAGGCTGAACAAGCCCAACTCTCTCAGCCTGTCCCCATAGGAGAGGGGCTCCAGCCCTCTGAGCATCTTCGTGGCCTCCTCTGGACTTGCTCCAACCCGTCTAAATCCTTTCGAGGCTGTGGATCCTACAGCTGGACGCAGCACTCCAGGTGGGTTCTCACGAGAGCAGAGTACAGGGGCAGCATCTGCTCCTTAGGGGAACAAATGCTCTCTCCTTCCACATAACCTTCCACTGGCTATCAGAACTTTTGTGTATGTTGATTTGGCCTGTATATAATTAGAACGGAGCAAGGATGTAAGCCTTTCTGTGTAAAAATCCAGAGATAAATATACAAGTACGGATATATATAGAGAATTCTGTTGCTGGTTAACTTAGGAAATTATAATGTCATTGAAAGTGCCATGGTGACATCCCCCTAAATGTCAGAGATACTGAGAAAATATCTGAATTAAAAAGAAAAAGGAGGCTTTGATTTACAAAGAGTAGTTAACAGCCTGTGCAGTGTCAAGAGCACATAATGATTATGAATCAAAGGAGAAGATGAGTCACCTTGACATTATCAGGTTTAGACATCTTGTGGAGAACCTACTCTGATGTTTTTTGACCTTTTCAGTTTCGTTTAATTGTACTATATATGACATTGGTGGTGTAGAAATAAATATGACTTGCATCAGTGGTTGTTATAGAGACAAGACAGGTAAGATGAGAAAACATGTGTTTTCTTTCTGCTGTTCGGATTGCTCTTTTAGAAAAAGCAGCAGATGGTGCAGCCTCTTAAAATTAACTTGTGATGGCCGTGTTTCTCTGATAATTACAACTTTCTGTTAATTACTTTATTTGCAATCTGTATTTGAAATACTTAATTTAAAATGTCTTATATCTTTGGTAACAGATGAATGGGCTGCTTTGTATAAACATTGTTGTCCTGGTTTGGTTAATTGTTATGGAAGAATATGCATTTCATATGCTACTTTTCCTCACTGTTAGTGGAGGGAGGGGTTTTTGCAAAGACTTTTGAATAAATCCTGCCAAACCTGGACTTCCCTATACATTATTGACGAGTTGAATTTTGCATTTAAATTGTCAGGAGTTCTAGGTGAGGTCATCCAGTGGGCACACTGTTGCAGAATGGTTTAGCTATAGTAAGAAATCAGTTAATTTGTGTAATTGTATGTTTAATTTTCCTAAGCGGATAAAACCATTACACAGAGAAGCTCTTTTTGTATCACACACACCCTCCACTTCTTCCTCTGGTGCATCCCACTGTCACTTCAAAACCTTCTCATTCATGTCAGTTGCTTGGGTTTCCACTTGAAGGTCCCACGTCATCTTTATAAGGTTCTTGTTCTCCAGGTTTCATGCAGATGACAATCCCATGAAAGGGACACTTATGCGATGCCAATTAGTATGGCTGTGGGTTTCATTCTTGTTCAGGGCCCCTGCTTTCTTTTGCCTGAGGGTTTTACAGTGTGCAAAATCTATAGAATTCTTGTCTGCTTTACTGTCAACCAGTCATGTGCAGTGAGCAAGGGCTGGATGTGCCTTTCCCCTATTTTTTTTCCCCTGCCTTATATTCCTTTAGCCACTTGTTATTCAAAGACACTGTTAAAGAAAGACACTGCTATTTTAATACACTAAAAATAACAATTTGCAAAGAGGTCTGATTTTGTGCTGTGTTTAAAAACACCTTGTGTTTAAAACTAATTTTTTTCTTTTTTCCTTGATGGCATGGACATGTGTTCTTTAATTATGCTGAAAAAAAGTTCCTGTCCTGTTTTTAGGAAGAATGATTTAGTTACGTCTCCTCTGTGCCCGTTCAGTTGAAGTGAGAGATCTCTAACATAAGCATAGGCAAAAACCTTTTCTACTGTGAAGGCGGTCAAACACCCTGTGCAGAACAGGTTCCCCAGAGGGGTTGTGGAGTCTCTCATCATGGAAGAACTCAATGTGACTGGGTTATGGCCCTGAATGACTGGCTCTAGGTGACCTTGCTCTGCACAGGGGACTTTGGACTAGGTGACCTCCAGAGATCACTTCCTACCTTAGCCATTCTGTGATTCTGTGAAATCTGTGGTATTTATAGATCATTACGGGGGGGAGGGAGGGGAGGAAATCTGCTGTAATTTAAAAAAAAATACTCATCACTTGATTTGTTGAAAAGTTATGCTTATAACTTGTAAGCCAGAAAAAACCCTATATCATTCTACTTGTGTTGCATCTGCCATGCTAATGAAGGAAAAATACAAACCACCTACTTTCTCCTGCTGGTATATCACTGTAGGATTCTTTATCATAACTTCAGGAAGCAATTTTGTTCAGTAGGAACTCAATAACTGTTTTATGAACTATGAAATATGTTAACAAAACAAGTAGAGTGCCTTCTTTATGGATTGGTTTTGTGTATTTAGAAAGATTTGAGTAAGATTCCCCTCCCCCTGCAGCTTTCCATTGGAATTTATTTTAAGAAGAATTATTTGACTTGCTAGTGTACAGGCAATTTCATCATTAGATCAAAACAAAATTTATTTTAAAATATATAGATGTCATTTATCACAATTTTAACCACCAAATCAGTCAAGGTATAGTGTGTAGGAGCATTGATTCAAAACTAACACAACTGACCTAATGTGTTTCTATCTAAAAGCTAGTAAATTGATCTTGAATGGAACCACCTTAAATATCTTGGAGGAGATGAGATGATGAATTTTTGTCTAGTCTCTCTAATTGCGATGTATTAATGTAATTGTGGTGAATAGATAACTTTTTTCAAAGCAAAATATTTAGACTAATTTAAAACCGCTATAATCACACGTTCTTGGTAGCACTTTCTGTGTGGGTTCTGAAAACTTTTTTTTCTGCTATATAGACATAAAATGGTGGAGCATCATTCTTAGCAAATATCAGGAGGGCACTGGCACAGCTCTCCCTTCTCATCTGAGTATTAAAGTATAATTTCAAAGCTCTCTTGATACTTCGAATTAACTCCAGTCTTTGTTTGAGACTTTTTTATAGACTAATGTGGTATCCATGTCCAAATCTGATGCTGATATTTTGACTCGGGGTACAGCAGGACTTGCTACTGTCATTATTGTGTATATGTGTATTTGATTATGTGGTATATAACATAAATTAAACTTTATGCTGAATGCATTTTTAATAATATAATTAAAATATTTTTATTTACAACTAAACCTTTGAAATAAAGGCTAATACTCAATGTGATTTTGGTCTATTGTTTTAGATGGTATTAACACTGAAGAAAAATTTTAGTGTGTATTTTTATGGGATAATACTGAATAGTAAAGGAATCTAATGCTTATTTTCCCCATTGTTTTTATTTGTTCAGTGGAGCAAGTTCCTGTGGAGCCCTACAACATTCCACTGTCTCAAGCTGAGGTGCTGCAGACAGGCAGTGATGTGACACTGGTTGCTTGGGGCACTCAGGTCAGTAAGGCTCTAACAAACCATTTGTCATCCAGCAAGGCCTAGGCTAAGGGTTAGGTGATGTTTGAATAGTGCTGCATTCAGAATTAAGTGCCAGACAGTAAACTCTGCGCATCTTCCATCACTATGTGCTGGAATGAATGATTGCCAGTGTTTGTATTTATACAAAACCTGCTTTTTATTGTCTAAGATTTTACTCGCTTCTGGTTGAGGCTGACTCTGGAAATGTGGAAGATGTTAATGAAGGAGGTTAATTTATCTGTGACTATGAAAGTGATATATTTAAGAACGGGGCAGTGAGATGTGACTCTGAGAAAGGCAATGGGAAAAGAGTTCACAGTGTGTTGAAAGAAAAGCATGATTTAAAAAAAAAACTACATGACTTTGAAGTGCAGTCTGGGGTTCCTTTTATATACAAAGAGTTAAAATCCACTGATCACTTTATACAAATAGAAGTCAATTTCGTTTTTATTCTAACAGTTGTATTTCAAAGCTGTTCAGGTATATAACTAGCTCTTTCCTCCCCCCCAGAGATCTGCAAATATTGGAAAATTTGGTAAAAAAAAAAAAAAACCAAAACCCAAACCCGACTGTTTGTTTTCAAGAATTATAGAGAAGAAATTTGAGTCTAGTTTGGTATTACCAGAAAAATCTTTTTATTGCTCTTAACCTATAATTAAGAAAATTGCTATTTTCCTGGCCTAATTATATCTGAGAAGCTTTTGGAGGGAGGGAGTGTTCTAACTTCCATCATAACAGTATTGAATTGATGCCTGGAGTTGTGCCTTTTTTTTTCTTTTTGTTTGGAATCTGTACTCTTCAGTGCTTCTCTGACAGCTGACCTTGTCCTCAGACTACTTGATCTCCTTTATATACCTATGGTTATTCCTACTAGCCTCTGATACTTAGCACTTGTATTAAATTATGGACTTCAATATCTTTGTTCATATTTGTTTCTCCAGCAGAAAACAGTTTCTGCAGTTCTTTATGTTCCCTTTAGAAAGTGCAAATTTTTGCTTCATTTGGATGAAATCTTAAGAGCTTATCTTATTCCCAAAAATTGAATTTATACAGTAATGGTTTGAAAGCTGACTTCAGAGATTTAATAATACCTTGAGTTTACCCCGTAGGCAGTAGTGCAGAGAGGACTTAGCTTTTTTTGAAGGATGTCATTCCATGTGCTTTGGATCTTGGAAAATGTAGGCCAAGTGTTAAGGCAGATGGTTCTTTTGATGCAGATAGCAGTAGGACAGATGTGCAGCCCTACTCCAAATTTAGGAGCTGACCAAACTGTGGGTGTGTCTGTTTAAGCAGGGGGATGCACGCTTAGCACGTATGTGGTAAATCCTGCGTGTTCTGCGTGTGTCAGGCTTCTGCAGATCAAATACGTTCAGTGAGTTTGTGCTGAGGGTGCTTGCAGGCTGTGTGCATGAACTTGGAACGTGATTGCTAAATGTGGCACCAATCCAGAGTTCATTGTCTGTAGGCAGAGATTGCACATACTCACGGGTTACTTCCCAAATGGTTTTGAATGTTAGGTAGTTGCTTGGCAGCTGCTGCTCTGATGCTTGCTTTCCTGGGCGGAACTAATGAAGATCAGGAAAGGCTTTTAGTTCCTCTCCAGTTGTCTTCAGTGTTTTAACTGATCATTAACTAATCCTTATCTCCTGTGAACTTGGTAAACATACCCACTTACACATCAGAGAAACAGCAAAATCATCCATCCCATGTGTCAGGTTGAAAACTCTCAAACCTTCTTATACAGCCACAGACGTATCAGAAGTTTAAACAAAAAACCCCTGTGCAAGCTATATTTTGATTTTATTATTACAATATTTGTATTGATTTACTTTTTAAAATAGTCAGTTGCTGTTTACCTCTTAGGCTTTTCAGAGGTTAGGTCTATGGGCCGAGGACACTTGTATGAGGTTCAACAAGGCCAAGTGACGGGTACTACACTTGGGTCACAACAACCCCCGGCAACACTACAGGCTTGGATGAGTGGCTAGAAAGGTGCCTAGTGGAAAAGGACCTGGGGGTGTTAGTTGACAGCCAGATGCATATAAGCCAGCTGTGTGCCCAGGTGGCCAAGGCCAATGACATTCCGGTTTGCATCAGGAACAGTGTGGCCAGCAGGACTAGGGCAGTGATTGTGCCCCTGTACTCAGCACTGGTGAGGTCACACCTCGAATCCTGTGTTCAGTTCTGGGCCCATGACTGCAGGAAAGACATTGAGGTGCTGGAGTGTGTCCAGAGAAGGGCCACAAAACTGGTGAAGGGTCTGGAGAACAACTGGGGGTGTTTAGCTTGGAGAAGAGGAGGCTCAGGGGAGGCCTTTTCCCTCTCTACCACTACCTGAAAGGAGGTTGCAGAGAGGTGGGTGTTGTTCTCTTCTCCCAAGGCACAAGTGACACGACAAGAGGAAATGGCCTCAAGTTGCACCAGGGAAGGTTTAGATTGGATGTTAGGAAAAATTTCTTTCCTTAAGAAGGTTGTCAGGCATTGGAATGGGCTGCTCAGGGAGGTGGTTGAGTCACCATCCCTGGAGGTAGCATGGATGAGGTGCTTAGGGACATGGTTTAGTGGTGGAGTTGGCAGTGCTGGGTTATTGGTTAGACTTGATGGTCTTAAAGATTTTTTTTTTTTCCAGCTTAATTCTATAATTCATATTTGAATTATGCAGATGCATGTTTAAATCCTTAATCATCTCGTTTCATCATAGATTTTTGTTCTATGTAAAATTTAATACTGCTGTCTGACTCTCAGGCAACTGATATTGCCTGACTCTGTCCATACTGTAAAATTCTTTTGCCTTCCAGACCAAGATGACCTCATCCATATTGCTTATTGGGGATGGTCTTTGGCCTCCAACACCTCATGTATACCTAGAAGTTGCTCAGTGGAGGTCACATGCCTCAATCCAAACCTGTGTTGTGAATCATTCTAACAATAAACGAAAACATGAGTTTGACAACATCATACCAAGAAATTCTTTTTTACCCTCATATTTCATGAGCAAATACTTTTTGCTGAGATATTTGTGGAGGTTAATATGAGTTGTCATAACAGTTGTTATTCTCTGTGTTGTAGCATTTGGTTGCTCATGTTTGTCTTATGGAAGCCAGTGCTTACGATGTGTTTTGCTTAAAAGCGTTGTATAACACAATGTCAAGATACGGTTTGGAATGTGTGTAGTATTGCTTTCTGTTCTGTTCACACTTTATGACAAGGGTGCTAATAGACGTGGGTTGTTTTACATTTAGTTTGTTGCACTTACATAGGCTGCTAAATATGTTCCTTGACTGGTGGATACTGAATAATGTGTATTCTTATTCAGTACAAGCCTTCTTGCTTGATAGGAATACTTTGTTTTAGCAAAATGTTAACTATAATAATCAGATGATGCAACATTGGTAAAGCTGGCATTAAACTGTGTTGGAAGACCAGTGAATGGTCATATTGTCATATTAGTGCCAGTATGCTTTGATTGTCAGGGTCAGCTCTGGATGCTTACAGTTAATTTTTTAGGTGATACTTACTATCTCTACTAAACTGTTCATAGAATTATGCTTTGGAATTGATGACTTAGTCATCTATTGCACTTTCAGTTAATTGTAGTAAGTGTAGTTACTAGGATTTTTTTTTTAATATACATAATGCTTCTTGCAGGGTTTTATGTGACTGCTACATGGAAATACATTACTCTGTTATATTTGGGTCTTAGCTTAGTTACAGTCCTAAAAAAGCCTTATCCTAAACCCCAAACTGACTACAAATATAAAATAGTAAGGCCTAATACAGTTTACTGAAAGATATATTTCTAGAAAGCAACAGTTTTGTTTTCAGTATTTTTTCACTGAAGTTAGTTTTTGAAGTGGTGCTAAAATTCAAGGAATAGTGAGAGTAGTAAATGAGAAGAATGAACTGATTAATAAATGCTTATTAGATTACTGAATAAAAAGGTTTCTGCTAAACGTGCAGGTAACTTGTTAAATTACTTCTTGTATTCAGTATGCATAATTTAGAACATCTTAAACAGAAATTAAATAGTTACTTGGTGGTGATACATGGCCTTTTCAGGTACATGTGATCAAAGAGGTGGCAACAATGGCTCAAGAAAAGCTTGGTGTGTCCTGTGAAGTTATTGATCTGAGAACCATCTTACCCTGGGATACAGAGACCGTTTGCAAGGTAAGGAAGTGATGCCTGTTAATTTAAAAACACAGCAAACAAAAAAACCCCACTAATAACAACAATTTAAATGCAAATAATGATGAATTTGTTCCTGAAGATTTTTTGTATAGCACAGCATACACTTTTGTGCTGTACTATATATATAATTTTATATCTTTTGTTCTGCATCATATATGAAGAGTAAATGCACTTTGTATGGACCTAACATTTGCTTTGGATTGAAAGAGAATTATGTTTCAGGGTTCAAAATAATCTTAGAATACATGTTCTTTGCATTGAAGCAAGGGGTAGGATTTAATGAGGCTTTTTCTTGAAAACTGCTTTGCCATGATTTCTGGCTCTGTCATCTCTAATATCTGAGAATTTCAGATGAAATCTTTTTTTTTTTTCCCTGCTGTTTTACACCAAGAAATTTATTTAGTTTTAGGCAATAATGTGTCTTAGTTTTGTTTATCCATGTTTCTAGAAATAAACATTTTGACTTAGGGTTTAGGAATTCTCGGAATGGGGAGAAAAGGCAGTATTTACTCTTCTCAGACTCTCTGGTTGGAAATTCTTGGATACTGTGGAGTCCTTGTCTTCTCTATGGGAGTCTTCGATTTTGTAATGTATTTCTTTCAAAGCACTGGGCAGCTGAAGCTGGAATCTGAATTGCCATATACTGAGAAACCATGGGAAGTGGTTATTATACTTAGCTCTACCTTGGTCTGTTTACCTTTTTTTCTTTTTCCCTGTACTGCTTTCTCATCAGCAGCTAAAAGCTACTGGGAGAGAAGACCTTAAAGGAAATGCAAGGGGGAGTATTTCACAAAATTCTTTGTATATGTAAGTTGGAATACCAAAGCACACTTTTAAAAAGTGCCGCTTGGGAAATTAAGAAAAAAAAACCCCAAAAAACCCCACCACCAAACAACCTGGAGGTCATTAAAGCCAAACCTAGTATCGGGAAAATTTTTTCCTCCCTCCTGATTACTATCTAACTTTTGCCTGTTGTCCTGAATTAGAATTTTATTGTGTGCACTATTTAAAGTGCCTGTAATCTTTTTTTTTCCTTCATTTTTCACTTACCCATTTTGAGTTTTAACATTCTAAATACATTAATAAACTTAGATTCTGCAAAATAAATTTTAGCACTGCTGCTTTGTGAGCACTCTTATAGATGCCTTTTCCTTAGCTACCTCATGAGAATTAGTCTGAAGTCTCTTCCATGAAACCAATTTTTGTCAAGCTCCTTGAGAAGTGCAAGAAGAGCTGCTGCCTGACTGTGTCCAACAGTACAAATGCTGTTGATCGTGCTTTTGGACTGCAGTGCTCCAAAAGGTTGTGCAGGTGTTTTTTGTGTTTGCATTATTTACAGCATTAACAATCAGAGCTTGGACAAGTGGTGTGGGTTAGCAGAATGCTTACTGCCTCTATTATATCTGTGGGTTTCCTTCAGCTGGCAAATCCACAGGCCTACAGCCATGTGGCTCACAACATGTTGGGTCCCAATTCAGTCTCTGTACACTAACTCATTTTATGCTGCTGATCAAATCACTCTGGAACTTTCAAAGTGTCCGTACCTTAGTTAACTCAGGCCTGATCATAGAA